CCAGAAATCTCATCTGTGTTTACAGTAGATCCAGTTTTTGGTACTCGTAATAGTATCTGGGGAAAAAGTGATAAGTTAAATACTATCAGTAAAGTGGCACATTCTCAAGTGTAAGAGACCCGACGAGCTGTTTAGATGCTCAGTAGATATCTAGGCTATCATTTGTTTGGAGGAATCTGAATCTTGTAGGTCAACTGCAGTGAGAAGAGAACAACCGTTTTGAGTGTATGTACATTCCTAATGAAAAAGAGCATCATCCGAAAGACTCCTTGAGCGGAGATGAAAACATCCAGCATAAACCCACCCCCCCACCACCACCTCTAGGCAGTCTAATTCCCGATCCCCAGGCTCCTCTAGAAAAGCACTAACAAAACCCAACTTTTGTTGGGTTCAGCGGTGGGCTTTGTTGGGTTCTGACAACACCGCTTGCCGATTTCTGAGATCCGCTTGCCTGCCAAGTACAACCTATGTTCTGTATTACCACAGTCACCCTTGTTCTTTGATCTGTACAGAAGCATCAGGTGATTGCCATTAATTAACACATACACACACTTAAAAGCACTTTCCCACACTCTAGATGCTGTATGTACTCAATCTGTAATATAAGTACGAGAGTATTTGGACCTAGGAAACTGCAGTTCCATTGGAAATTTGTGTATATTCAGTATTTTTGAAAGCTACTATGCTTACGCAGTATCTCTGTATTAAATTAAACCAGCATAAATGACAAACATAACTTGCAGAAAACTTGCAGACATTGTCTGTAAAGAACTACTTTAAACTTAGGAAGACATATGCCATCCAGTGGCACACTGAGAAACTTCAAGAGAGATTGGAAAGGGAGGGGATTTTACCTCTATGGTAGTGCTGAGACAGTTTTGCACACATTTCTCATTTTTGTTTAACAAAAATCTAGGAAGTAAAAGAAGGAGCTTCCCCCGTGTGAAGGGTCTCAGGAGAAAAGAACAGAAACCTTTAGAGAAAAACCGAAATTTTTTAAAGAGAAACATACCCTATGACATGAACTACTTTCAGGGGGAAAAGAATACTGGATGCTAAAGAGATCAGTTTAGCTGAGAAAGACAGAAAACACACCAATGCCTGAAAGCTGAATTCAGACATATTCACCCTGGAAATGAGGCACAGGATAATAATTTACTAAACAAGCTGGTATCTTTTCTAGGGAGTCTCCGTACCAGCAATGAAGCTCAAAGTTGTGTTTAGGAGTAACTTGAAGAGGTGCAGATATTCCCAGAGTTACCTAGTAGCACCTTCTGGCCTTAATGATCTAGCCTATGAAACGGCTAGATTGTATTAATTCCTTTGCTAAAGATCCTTGGAGGAGAAAACGTTCGTGTAGTTTGTTAGTGAAGTACCATTGCGTGCAAACACTTAAGTCAGAAATTTGAGGTTTTCAGTGTCTTTTACTCTTTAGCCTTGTGATTTTTCCAAAGATTCAGACTTTAAAAAAAACAAAACAAAAAACAAAAAACAAAACCGCCTTTAAACACTCAAATAGCCAGTTGCCATCTGCACAGTGAACCAATTCGATATTTATTACCTTCAGGCACTCCCTCGGGAATGCAGAACGCTTTTGTGTTAACTGGAATTTGGTGAAGCCTGGAAGGCCTCCGGCACGGTGAAGTTCTGACAATGGAGCAGATTTCTTGTCTGCCACACAGAGGCTGAAAAGATTAATGACATTTCATTCACACAACTATTTCCATTGAAGAAATATTCTTCTAGGGAAATTAGAGATGACGTGCAGATTTCAAGGGATGTCACTAGAAAACATTTAAGACTACTTGTGTACGCTTCATATGCTATCAGAAAGGGTGATAGAAAGCTTCAAAGCTTAAATGTTTTCTTCAGCTGTTTGTAATACTGTAAGGCTTTACTATATAGTGCATTACGTACTAGCATGCCAAAACTGGATTTCAAGAGTGCAATAAAATTAGAACCTGAAAAATATTCTTTTCTTCTGGACTTTGAGGAATAATTTCTTTTTCTGAGCTCAGAGATGCAGGAACAATTTCTTCTGAATTTACATATGGACCTGTGGTATTCAGGAATAGGTCTTCCCCAGGTGAGGCTTTGCACACTGGTGACAAGCTAAGCTACAGCTCCGTCAAAATACAAATCATACAGCAATAACTACCCAATTAAATAACAGACAACAATTCAAATTGGCCAACACTTGTTGGCTCATGCAAAAGGTCTTCCATTGCTTCAAAAATACGATTTAGGACTCCAGTGATTCCTGTCTTTGGCCTCCAAGAAGACCCTGATGTTCACTGTTTGTTAATCTAGTATCCATAAACTCAAGTATGCTTGCAACAACACTAGGAAAGCCCAGTATGTTTTCCTGCCAAATAATCTGGTGCAAAATTAAGCAGTCTTTCTATTATACCCGTTCCCCTTTTTCTAAAAAAATTTAGAGTTTGCTGAGTTGGTTGGGAGCTATGGCATGAAAGTGACAGAGACATCATTTCTATTCCTGCAGAGAGAAGTGGCAGTGCTATACTACCTTTACTGACAAAGAACTCAAACTGGCGTTTATCAAAGGGGTAATGCAAGTAAGGCTACTAGGTGCTGGTTTTACATTAGAAGATGCTGCAAAAATACAAACCAGATACCTAGGGGTTTTGTTGTAGTATTTTTAACTGTCCAACTGATTGAATTTAACATGTAGTTTGTTGTGCAATTTGTATTGTAGCATAAGCATAGCCAGAATTGGACTGTGCCATGAAGAACAATTTGTTTGGTTTTAATCATTAAAAAAAAAAGTATCAGGATAGACACTCACATCTAGCTCTGCAGGCTGAGCAAAACCAAGATTTTTTAGGGCTTTATTTTCCTCCACGATCAGCATGGTGGAACTCATTTGCTAAACAAAAACAGAGCAGAATTCAGTATCAGTTTCCAATTTTATGAGTCCTACAGTATTCCCCTAGTACACAATACTGTTTATAACAACTCCATTTAGAATTACTGATAGTTCTTAGGGTTTAACTACTGAATTCCTGTCATTCACTGTTTTTTGGTCTTATGCTCTCCAAAATTGAGACAAAGAATCAGTTTACTGCCGCACAGACCACACGTTTCACGTCCCCTTCCCCAACTAGGGGATGAAGCACTTCCTACCACTTATTTAATTATTACAATATTTAATTGTAACTTTTGTCATGATTCAAAACTCTTCACTTCAATTTTATGCCTTTGCTAATCAGCGGGGCACAGCGGGAATACTTACCACCACAGCATCTGTCCATTTGGACGGCACTACTGCTGCTGTCAACCCCACCGATTTGGCTGAGGTGTTTCCTGGGGCGCCAAGCTGACCAAATGACGATGTACCACCTTCTAATGTACTAGAATTTTTTTCTTTTTTCTTACACTTCAGCCTTTCGGGTTTAGCAGTTTGATTGTCAGGCTAAAGGGTGAAACAATTACATTTTGTGTTATAAAGTGAATCTCTATAGTGTGGTAAGCACTAACAGAGTCCTACTGCCACACTCGAGCTCTTACACAACTGATCCAGTACCGCTGACACAGTCAGTCTGAAAAACAGTGAGCTTAGGGGGCACCCATGACTATTACTGCTGCCCAGAGGTAGAGGCAAACTACACCTTCGCACCCCTTTCAAGGTAACTACTACACTTCCAGGTGGAGTCTTCCACCTACACGAGGAAGGAGCAAGTCATCTATGTTACAACCTGGCTGATTTATTAAGGATCTTTCACCTTTCTTTCCGGTCCTAACGGTGAAGAACAGCGCATACCAGTTTTTAGGTCTGGAGTTCTCTCTCTTGCAGCTGTAATTTTACAGACTTTTTTTCCTGTGATAAATTTCCAACAGATTAATTAACTCTGAGACAAACAGCACAGCTACTCTCCAACCCATGTCTTACAGGACGGTTTTCAAAGAGGGATCATTCCAAAGCCACCCATGTAAACACACTTCCTCCCTTCAACATAATCCTCATCTCCCTCTCCCCGCCAACAGGGCTGCTTTTCTCCTCTCCCGTTCCTTGAGGAAACAAGGTTGAGTATTAATCTTCTGTTCACCTGGCTATTTACTGCTAGACAGACATACCATGGGAGCAGAGGAATTGCATAATCACAGCAGGCTTTGCCAGTGGCAACTTCTGCTGCTATTACAGTCCAAATTTAGCAGGGGAAAATTATGTGGTACCTGGGCCATAGCCAGAATTGCATCAGTCACAGTTCAGAACTGTAGTTACATGAGGGACTCCTAATACTATTTGTGAGGCTGATATGAACTAAGTTCAAGCAAGGAGCATGACACAAACAGTTCTGTTCCTGGGTAAGTTAAGTAAGAAATGCTAATTTTCACTGAGCATCACAGGTGATTAAATGGAAAAAGGGGGGGGAGGGGGCTGGGGTTTTTTTTTGTTCTTCTCCTAACATGTTAATTAGAACCAAGGAAAGATTTTCAATTCACACTTTCCCTTCTAGACACAATTGAGCTTAGCCTGTGCCAGGGGGACAAATGACCCCGTGGAAGCCTGGTTCTGATATTTTGCCATCATTTAAGTTTGGGTAGAATATTCTGTTGTCTCACAGCTAGTACAACTGCTTCAGGTCGTATTTTACCTGCCAGAGTAGTTGAAACACTTAATACTGAAGAACTGTAACTGCAATTTGATGGTCTCTTTCTAGAAGAGGAGGGAAAAAAAACAGTGAACAACTATTCTCAATGAATGTTAACGTTCAAAAAAAAGAAGGGATAAGGAAATCATAGCAAAATACAGACTGAGTGAAAAGGGATAAAGCTTATTTTTAAAAATATTGTTACTGAGTTACTTCATCACACTTTACAGTTATTTGATAGTTTATCATCAAGTCACACAGCTTATTCTGAAGATACTTGCAATTTAAGACCCACAGAAGACATTCACTAAAGCACTCAGCACTGAAGCATACTAGGACAGAACATATTTAAGGACGATGTAGAGGAAAATTAGGTTCACAAGAAAACTCAGATTGAATTGTGTAGAGATCTGTAACACTAAGATTGGTATAAATGAGTTATGAATGGAAATGTCTGCCTGGAAACAGCAGCACAAGGGTTAAAAGAAAGGATACTGTTCCTAGCAAAAAATCATTCATGTTACTCAGATTTTTATGTCAGGACCTGAAGGCGGCACTGTGACAAGGCCAAGTACAGAAGATGCAGTGAAAGACCCTGCACTGTGATAAGACCACAACACAGAGGACTTGTCAACACAAAACCTGGCATGCTAACAACAGGAGGGTGGCAAGAGGGTTCCAGCGTATCACATACGCCATTCTGCTTTCTGGTAGACGCGTATTCCAACTAAGAAAAAACTGACAACGGGCAGCAACCTGGCCCAAGATTTATGAAGGCTGAAGTCAGCAAGATCCTGAAGCAAAGGAGTGCCCCATATAAGCTGATGATTCCTAAAGAAAAGATCTGCCCAGAACCTAATTTTCTCCTGGGCAAGCACAGAACGCCAGAGACTTAACGAGGACTTGACAACGGGCACCCCTCATACTCTGTACTGCACAGGCAATCCCGGCCAGACCGCCTGGGCAGACACGTCTTGCTGCCTGTGACTGAATGAAGTCTGACAGAGTAAGTGCAATTGGATAAAAGCAATTTATTTAGGGACTTTGTAAATAAATGTCACCTTCCCCTTCCATAAAATCCTTCACTGAGTTTTCTTACATTGCCTTCCCTACAGCTGCAAGACCAAAACAAAAGTCTATAAGGCAATCTCTTACCTGACTTAATGCACCAGTTTCAAAGTTAGTGAGGACACAGGTAGCTGAAACTCAACAGAAGTGTTTGCAGGATCAGAGGCTTATTCATACTGGCCTTTCTTTTAAGTATCATTCAAAAGAGAAAAACCTGAACGTTTAGGTGCATCAAAGAGTCTGCTTTGCAGATTACCTTCTAGTGTATTGGTCTTGAAAATCATCCAGCACAGGTTCTAAAAAACATAAAAGCTAAACTTTAAAAGAAAAAGCTAAGCAGACCAGACAATGTTTTAGTGCACACTAAATTATAAAGCAAAATATTAGAAGCAAACACAGACCACTAAAAGGGAACTGTTCCCGACTATGCAGACATGCCTTATATGAAATGACCATTACATATTTTACACAGGTTCCTTGCACCAGAGTGAAATTTGTTTATGTATATATTCTTCAGTATTGTAGAAAAGAATTACCTAATATTGCTGAAAGATTTGAGATCTGTGGCATCTTATCTATGGTCACTGCTTTGCTGGAGTCCAGGAGAGTAGAGTTCCTGTATTTGCCAGAGTCCTCACAGTAAAAATTACTTCTTTCTGGACATAAAAGATGTAAGTGCAAGCTGCTCATGCTGAAATTCACCGAGTTACTAGTTTGTGACCAAACTGAAAGCAATCACACTTGCAAGACAGGAACTTTAAAGCAAAGGGAAAGCATTGTCTTGGCTCAAACAGCCACAGAAAAGTGTGGGAGGAATTTGACTCAAAGCAGATTTGTTGGTCATCCCCAATAAACAGCTTGCGTCAACAGTGAATACTTTAAGTTTACAGTACAATTCAAATTACACCAGGACCTGATTGACTCTGGACTGGAGGACCAGACATACAGATCCCACGTTAAGCACAGGTTGCCTTATAGCAAAGATCGGACCTGGTGAGTCACACCAAGAGAAGCCACTAGTCTTTGTATTGTAGATAGTCCCCGCACATTTTCTACATCATATAAAGCTCAAAAAACCAAAAGTCTCACCTGAACGATCATCTCTGAATGTTTCAGGGGATGGGCAACTGTTCAGGCTGTCACTATCACCTGTGTTATAATCTGCAGTTGAATCTACATCTAAACACTCTAGGAGAAAGGTTGAAACACCTGTGGGAAGAGTCATTCCTGTACCTAGAGAAAGAGGTAAAAAAGGTGGCTACCAAAAAAAAAAAAGGATCATCTTGTACAAGCCATCAGGATTTCCTTATCTAAGTTTCATTCCCATTATGAACTAAATATTGTCAAGTCAGTATCTTATACTGATTCATGATACAGTTAAAGAAACAAATAAACAAAGGGCATCCTGAAGCCCAATTTACACTACCATAAGCTAACAGAAGACACCTTCCTTGCCCAAGGCTCACTAGAAATACTTGAAGAATTTACTCTCTGACAAAGTAATTCTTAGCCAGGTTTGTTTTCAGAAGGACAAACTATTTAGGCACAAGCTTTTAAAAATGCAGGTTTGAGTAAACTGAAGAACTCATGTCAACAACTAGTTCTGTCAATGATAAAACCAAGATCATGTGGTTTTCAACAGGCTGGGCTCAAGACTGTCTCGGGTCTCGTCGGGCTCCTATCCTGTTTGTGCTGCCTACAAGCAATTCATGTGAACCAAGCCACGTGCTGGAATAAGAGGCAGAAGTCCAGCCAGTGGTCTCAAAAGCTTTACTTTCTGATATCGTGCAGTCAGAACCAGTACGAGAACAGCACACCCGTACTTTATAGAAATATAATGAAAATTATATAATGAATTTTACGTTTAGTTTTATACAGATATAAAAGTATATTTAATAATATAATGTTTATATTATATCAGATACATAAAATATATCCATTTATATTAAATGGATATATATAATTATATATATCCATTATACTCACTTGAAGTCACTTCAGCATTTTTCAAACTTCCTTTACTTTCAAAGTTGATTATCAGGGATTCCTAAAATTAAACACAAATACAAACAACCTGAGAAAATTGGATGTAGACCAAGAAATGCAATTAAATGTATTCCTACATTAGCAGACGCTCAGAAACTTACTGTCTGGTACTCCACCACTTAAACTTGCTATTCACAACGTAATTTGTACCAGGGGTTTTCATGCATCATTAACAAGTCTGCAATGTGACTTATAGTTCTAAAATCCATAATGAATACCCAATAATTTGATCCTACAGTCTTTGCTGGATGAGACTTCCAGTGAAGGCATACTGACGTCAGCTGAAGATATGCATAAGATAGCAGTGGAATAATGAATTTCCCTGTCTTTTTTTTTTTTTTGAGGTACAATTCATGCTGCTCACGTTCACATTCCTAGATTGCTCCTACAAATACAAACAACTATGTTGTTTCAGTAGTATATTGTACAAAACTAAACATTTGCAAGAAATTTAAATAATTGGTGGACTCTAAATAAGAGCTAACATTTTAAAGAAAAATAGTTTTACACCAATATCAGTCAAGCCCTTTGCTGTAGCAGATGTCAGTTCAAACACACCTGATGAACTATTTTCTTGCCACTGCAGCATTAACTGTCCTATAACACTTCTGCTCAGTCATCTCAAAATACATTGTTCCAGTTGTACTAACATGAGGAAGAGCACAACAGTGACTTGCCAAAGGTCTGTGTCTGAACTAGAAGTGAGCAATTCTCTGGAATCACTCTCTAATGAGGTATCTTCCACACAACACAATTGCTACGGCCTTTCCTCGTTAAGGATAATTAGTATTGATGTTTTCCCATGCTACCAATAGCTCCAACAGCTTTTATTCTGGCCAAAGACACAGGAAAATGTCACCAAAATACAGGACCAAGTTCACCCTGAAAAAATGTGCATGCACACAAACACACACAGAGCTCACGGGAAATTCTGCTTGATTAGAAAAAGAATTTAACATGTCACATTTCTTTGATTGGGCCTCCATAAACTACTAGTAGATAAAGAGCAAGAAAGCATTCTCACCTTCAGCGGTACAGTGTTTTCTATTTTCTCTTTGTTTTTTTCCAAGTCTGTTGCTGCTTTCACATTCACTTGATTGCTGCAGTTGAAGAACAGAGCTGAGCTCAATACACAGAGCTACACCGTTCTAGGGGAAGGCGACAAAAACTACAGAACGTCTTTATGAGGTGCCAACAAATAGTCTGACAACCATCAGTTTACCAAGAATTCAGACTGCCTATCTCCAAGAGACACCTCATGCAGACAAAACAATATAAATTATTAGCTAGTGTTAATAATGGTGTATTTGAATGAGTTCTGTCAGACCTCTGGTGGGATGAATGGCTCACTTCGGTGACTTCAAGATTTTCTTTAATTTTTGGTAGGGTTTTCACACTGGATTTCCCCTTCAGGCCTAGGGAAGAACAAGTATTCAGTTCAGTGATTTTAGTTTTAACATTAGAATCGAGATGATTATTTCCAATAGGGCACCTTTAGCTGTTCCCCCTCTTCCATGCCCATAACAATTTTTGACACACAAACATCGTAAAGTCTGAATTTGCTTTATTATTTCTACCCAAGCTTTTTTTATCAGCTTATCAACAAGACCAAAAAAATAGCAGACTTCAAGAAATACTTCAGGTGGTTTAGAAACCTCCCGATTAAAAAAGAAAAAGCCACTTCGGAAGTGACCTTTACTCCACCTAGGTTCAAAGTAGTTTGAGTCTAAATCAGTTTTAAATGGAGTTTATTAGGAGTACCATAAGAATTTCTACATAAACTGGTCTGCACTGTATATAATCCCAAAGGCCATGATGACACAATTACTTAGGAACCAGCAAATTTCAGAGACATATTTTCTTCTCCTAAAACCAACTTTATAAGTTGCTTAGCTTTGCGTTTTATTTTCAGTCACCAGGAGCTAGAAACAGCCAAACTTTCTAGAGTTACACTTTCATGACAGCAAGTTAAAAGAGCATCCATCCCCACACCAAGAAATAGGTCTGAAGTACTGCGTCCCCCAGCACTGCACAGAGCCCTGCAGCTGGAAATCCCTGGGAGCTCAGGACAGGACAGTGTATGAGCAGGACTCAACCCAGGACTCATCCCTTTCCCTCGTTCTTCCGCGTACGTAAGGATGAAAAGCGAACAGACCTCAAGGCAGCTGCTAGTTGTACTCAGTCAGGTACGCAAGAGTACTGAACAGCTACCAGAGCACGAGACAGCGGAGCAGGATCGAGATAGAAACTAGCGTTCGTTGTACGCCGTAAGAGTAATTTAAAGTCTTACCTTTAAATTATCACGATCAGTGTGGGACCGAGACATCCCACACTGGTCTTCCCCATTTACTTTACCAAATTACACTATTACCGTCAGCCTTTACTTGAAGTCCATACCTTGCCCTCAGACCGCATTTTTTTCTTTACAGTCTCCCAATTCTTAACTCGAGATCTGCTAAATTGTATTCAACAATGAGGCTGTTCCTTTTGAGGAACAACTTTAAGCCATTTTTTAAAGCAGCCTCTCAAAGGTGGGCATGCGTTTTGTCTTGCCATTTCTAAAGGAAATGATTGGGGCGGGGGGGAGGTACCTTACAAAAGGAAAAAACCCTTTTTATTACTAACTAACAGCTAAAACGGAGGACACGGTCCTCTTTCCAGATCACCTGCCTGCCTCCTCCACGCCCTGAGGGACGTGGGTAACAACAAACCGCTTCCCAACCTCACACGGGACCAGCTCGGCTGGACACAAAGGGCGAGAAACCCGGTGCTACGCGGCCGGGGGGGGAGGACGCGGAAACCACACGACATTTCGCAGACGGCGACCGGTAAGACCCTTCCCCGGAGGGTGACTTCACCTGACCGGCATCCTCACCCGCTCCTCAAACCGCCGCGGAAACGCGAGTATCGGACAAAGCGCAGCGCAGGACCCTCTCCCCCCCG